CATCATCATCATCTTTATTTAAAAACACGGTAAATACATCAGGCATTAACAATTTAATATAAAAGCTACAACTTATTACGAAAGACCATGTATACAGATTAATCTTCTGTAATTTAAAATATTGCTAACTATTAAAGAAAAGTAAACTAAATTAAAGCCTGTTTTACATGAATGCCATGTCGGAGTTAATTAACAATCGTTGGAAACTAGTCAGAGATGTTGCTTGCCTAGCAGCTGAGAGTAGACTGTTCCAGAGGACTGCACCACTATAGCCAAAGCTATTTTTGTAATGGTTAGTACATGGCAAGGGAATAGCAAGCTTATTATTAGAATCGCACAAATTATAAGAAGTAATCACATCACCCTGCTGAATGAATTTCAAAGACAAGTAATTGGGTGTGAGGCCATTTAAGGACCTATAGACCATCTCAGCCTTTAGTTTTTGATGTCGAGTTTCTACGTTGTCCCAGCCTAATTCTTTAAATATTTGGTTGGCGTCACCATCATAACTAGAATGAGTAAGGACAGCATGATTTTGAAGTCTCTGTAATTTGTCGTATAATATTTTGGCACAATTACCCCAAACCACTACAATAGTCAAAGTGCGATTGAACTAACCCGTGATAGATATTATGTAGAGTTGCAGGAGGAACACAGTGACTGACACTGTGCCACCCATGTAATACTCCTCTGAGTCAATAAAAGCACTTTAATTTGTCCAACTGTATAACAGACTGTTTTCGATATTAACATTAAAATTCAGCAAGGCCCAGAGGACACAAACAAAGGAAATTGAATGAGCATGTTTATTCATTTCTCTTCTTTGTGTCCTCCAGACCTCACCATGAGCTGAATGTTAACATATCAGAAGTGGCCTACACATGTACATGATCTATATAATACGCTGTAGTATTGTTTTTACATCAACAACATGTTTACTTAATGTCATTTTATGTTATCTCACTTTAGATTCAGCGATTTAGCACTGCAGCTGTCTTATATGACGAACTGGGATTCAAAAGAAAGGCAGGGTTTTTCACCAGAGTGGCCGCCGTGCAGTGTATTTCACAGCAATTACCACATCCACTTTGGCTTTTGGTAAAGTTAACCGCAATAAATTCTTGAATGTGAATTTTTCGGAAATATTCAATAGGGCTGTATACTTGAACTAGACAGTGCAGCATGCTTGTGACACAGATTGTTCCATCTAAATCAGACGGTGATCGTTAATTAAAAGCTTAATCTTAAACTGAGATTTTGGCTGGACCGTGGGACTGTCTAAAACACGGCAAAGGGGAAGGGATTTCTTGGGGTTTATATGTACAGTAGCTTGCACCCCTCCTCTAGCTTTCAAAAGATGTGTTAAGGTACAGGCATACATGTATATCAAAATAATTGTACCAGAAAATACCTACACGATGTCCTTCCAGGGAAGAAATTTTGGTTTGAACAAATCCCCACCCCACAGGAAATTCCAGTTTCAACATAGGTACCTTCCTTCAAAACTTTGCTTTCAAAACCCTGGACTCTGTTGGAATTTCCTGCATTCGTGCTTGGGGTAAATATGGTTAATTATTTTCGGAACCACATTCAGCTAGTAGTTTATCATAATGTAACTTCTGCTCTAAATTCTTCATCTTTGCACTCAAGATGTAGTATGGGTCGGTCATTTGAGTATGTCATAATGTTGTTTTCTCTTTGTACAGTCTTATAAATTCCTTATGAGTGCACTTGAAGGCTACAGGATACATCTTGACCAAAAAGATGTTCCCCAAGGTACATTGTCATGACTAAAAAGCATACATCCTGTGGTTTGAATCTACATTATGTTTGAACTGTAAAACCATGAACCCCAGATCAGGAACTGTACTAGAAAACAAACTTGTGTTAAAATTTTCGTGAATTAAAAGCAAATTTAAACTACAACACCAGCACAGGGCCTAATTTTACAAAAGCTGGTTAAAGCTAACCCAGGATTAAGAGTTAACTGAAGTATTAATTTTGCTGTATGAAAATGCTTTTCACTGCTAATGTTATGTGTATGTTATGTTATCATGTAGTTTGAGATTATCCCAACTCAAGATCAAACAATATAAACTGACAAACTTGCCGAACTGAGCAATGCGAACGTTTATAATTGAAAGTCTGCTTACTATGCATACAGTTACAGCTTTATTGAATGTTATGTTATTTTGAAAAATTTATGTTTAACAAAGGAATTAATAATATGTTGTTTACAGATCTTCCAAATGGTTGGCCTGCTCTTCAAATAAGACTTCTAAATGAACTTATATACACTGCACGTCGCTTAGGAGATCCTTCATTGGCAGTCAGGTATGATCTTCATGTGTGACTGCTATTGCAGGGGCAACTTATATGAAAAATTAGACTACCTTGAAGTCTAGCACTGTGGAATTTTAACTTAAATTGTGTGACATGATCAGTTTTTCCGAGTCCTGGATAAAGTGGTGATTATTATACTGTGAAAAGGTACAGAAAAATGTGATGCTTCAATCTGGGTCATGTAGCAGGAAGCAATTACACTTGAGAAGTCTTGAAACTTGTAGAAACACTGAGTATGGAGAATTAACAAACTGACGTCAGTTTTTCATGCATCTGTCCTGTTATTGATCATGAATGTCATCATAACATTGTCAAAGTAGCTGCGGATCCATGAGGGGATAGCCAAGTGGAGCCGCAGACTACTTTGACAATGTATCTATCTATCTATCTATCTATCTCAATAACAGGGCAGACGCTTGAAAAACCGACGTCAATTTGTTTTTTACGATAACAAATTGTCAAATTGTCCACTCTCACTTGTTGACGCATCCCATAACTTATAAATTCATGTGTCTGTCCACATATTGACAATGAAAATTAGCCAATGATCGTGCGAGAATTTCAGCAGTTATCGTAAAATGAATCACTGTTGATGGTTAAGTTCAGGAGGTGCACACAGTGGTTAGCACATGTAGCTACATACATGTACATTTATCTTGAAAGAGTTGTGCTTCTTGTTAATCCTTTACATGTACCACGCATACAGTGTGTATAACAACCTATTTAGTCACCCAGGAGGAGAGAGCTCTGCACAGGAAATTAGTACAAAGACTCTAGAACAGTCTTTTAGCCAGATGGGTGTCCAGGTGTCCTGTGATCAGCCATTTTCTATGGAAAATTATTTATTTTTCATATGCTGCCTTATAAATTGCTCATTTGGGCTGATCCTATAGCACATTTTGGATGGCCACTTTTCAAATTGTGGCTAATAGCCTGCTCTAGAATAAGGCCACCACATTTCCATACATCTGTCACGAGGCTGAGTGACCTTCTGAAAGAGGTTATACTTTCTCTTCTCTGACTCCATTTCCTGCAGTTTCCTCAGTAGTCTGCCTGTCCAACGTATTTTTGTGTACATATTTTTGTGCCTTAGAACTTTTCCTTACTCTTGTTTTCTATTCTATGTGCCGGATTGATTTTGCAGTAGCCCTTTGATGTTTGATGTTAATTGACACTGTATTTAAACAGCTTTTTTCATTGTTTTGTTTTTATATATTTTGGATGGACTAACACTTATGGTTCTAAAGTTCCTTTCTAGTTCTTCCCAGCTGCTTTTCTTCGGTTTATTTTATGATACATTTAATTTATTGCTCGTATGTTTTCTTATGGCTTATAATTAGTGCAGTGAAATGGATTGAATTAAATTAATAATATTCTTGCTAAGTGTGCCTTCCCACCTGTACGTTAAGCAACACCAGGTCTTTTTTCATATTAATTTACATGTGCTAGCTGTCTTAAAAAATTTCATGTTTTTTTTTTCCTTGTCTTACTTCAGGCATGTAATATTTCTACTACAAACCATGCATGATCACTTGAGTGACGATGAGAAGAAAGAGCTGTGTGCATTATTGGAAAGTTCTGCCAAACAGTGCACAGGGTCACCCAAGGAAACAGACAATAACAGGATGGACGTGCTGGACATGCCTATGATACCCCTCGCTAGAATGCCTCTTGTGAGGTACATAGTGTTAGGGATCTTTTTCATATTTGTTTAGTGTTCTTTTTTTTTTAATCTTTTAGATATTAGCTGGTCACTCTTTCACATTTTTTCTACATTGTACATGTGCAGACTAAAAAGTTGTGCAAGAAAGTCATAAAAGATTGTCTGTGTTTGAATGTTAAATGTTGAATGTTAATAGTGGTTGATGCACTTCTAAAGCTACAGCTGCCCATTTCTCAGGCATGCCACTTGAACTGAAAGAAAAAAATACTTCAAATAAAAATTCCAACTGGTGGGAGGCCAGCCAGTTGGCTATTTACAAGCATGACCGAGGAGTTGAACTAGGGTCTAAGTTGAGAAACAACTCCTGTTACTGAAGTGGTCAGAGTGGGCCTTGAACCCATGACCTTGGAATTTTCAAGGCTGGCGCTCTAACCAGTTGATCATGCTTCCTCCCACTTGTTTGTATTCTAATGGGTTAGATTCACACTTGCAAACTATCAAGCTCTCCCAACACCTTCTAAACTGTGTTTGCGTGGGGTTATGAAAAGAACACACGCATGTGTTTTCTATTTGTTAAAAGATTATTATTTTCTTTGTCATAGATCATTCAAGGTCCATCCACTAGCTTCTCATCTGAAGCCCGTTGGAAAGAAGTCTTTGGCAGCATCAGACACAGCATCTACAGGACCATTCATATTTTCATCGCTCAGACGGAATGCAAAGGAAGTAAAGAAAACTAAAAGTAAGACAAGAAGGTGTTAGTCTTGCTAGTCAGTGTAGAACACAGACTGCAGACTGCAGACGGCAGACTACAGATTACAGACGGCAGACTGCAGATTGCAGACTGCAGCCTGCAGCCTGCAGACTGGGGGGAAATGTAGACTGAGGGTAACATGCAGACTACAGATGTATACAGACTTTTTAAGTATACCTCATGTTATTTTCATTATCGGGCTAATCAGAGTGGACATCTGCACTTTGGTTATGCTGAATATCACTTCGGTTTATCTAAATATCACTCATGTTAGCCTAAATAACGCTCCCATTAGCCTGTTACGGTTACTGTTAGCTCTCAATGATGGAAACGGTAACATGATTCAGTTAAAAAGTCTGCAGTCTGCAGTATTTTTCTTGTATGTAAGTCACAAAAATGTGAATTTAAGTAATGTTTGAAGGGTTCACAAATTCAGCTCTGCAAATACTTTTGTCACAAGCAAACTGCAGAAAAACATCCGAGGTCTTAAATACAATGTAAGTAATGAGCTCTAGCTATACTTGTTATACGTTGAGTGTTTATTTGTTTGTCTGTTTGTTTGTTCACATTTGTTGCTTCAAGCTGCAAAATCAAACTATTAATATTTTTTGTGCAGATATAACATGGGTTTGTGGAGACCTTGGGCAGGTCTCATTGGATGTTTATAATCCCATGCCATTTGAACTCAAAGTCTCTAAAATGGTAAGAGCTGGCTACTGGTTTTACACACAGATATTGTTGCAACAGCCTTTGTTCTTCTTTTTTGTATTTTGCATTAATTACTGTTTTTACCTCGGTAGCTATCTTCCAGATCTAAATTTAAATCTAAATATTATTACGTCGGCAACATCCAGAGGACANAGCTGCGGAGACAGATATCAAGATATGATTGATTATCTTAGTTATACACACAACTTAAACAGCTGTGAAATTAAAGCCTGCAAAAAATTCAGCCTTCAACGGGATTCGAACCCATGACCTCTGCGATACCGGTGCAGTGCTTTACGATCCTCTACCAACTGAGCTATCAAGCCAACTGGGAGCTTGTTACGTTGTGAGTTCGTAATATACCTGTAGATGGTGAAGAATACAAGTGAATGTATGAAAAATCATCTGTTTATCTTTCCTTGGGCAAGCGAACATGCCATCAGCACTGAGCTAAGTTAAGTTAACTCAGATTCGCACACAGCTAGTAAAGCTAACGTCTTCCCCAGGGCTAAGTAACTGAGTGCTAACATTCGAAATGACAGCTTCACAAACTCCGTACGGTGGTTAACTTCAAGTGGATAAATAAAGTCTTCGGCAAACTTCGGAAATTTTTCGAAAATGTTCGGATAAGTTCGTGTGACCTTCAAATTTTTTCTAGACTCTTCGGAAATCTCTGGAAAGGCTAAGTGTGTCAGTTGCCCGCCAACGCAGTCCAACATTTTCTTTAGAAACTAACACACACGTACTAATTTGAACAACTTCAGTTCTGTATTGCTCTTTTCTACAAGAACACAGTACATGTATGAATGTATATTGAGAATCAAGTCTTATTGCTCCCTTATTAATTGAGTTATTTTCACGGGCAGGTTACACAGTGACTGTGTTTGGAGTAGAAAGCAACTGCAAGCTTACACAAGAAAACCTGGAGAATAAAGAGGACTTTCCGGTGATTGTGGATGTGGTCCCTTCAATGCCCCTCCTCCAGGTGTCCACGTCTCTGCCTAAGGTCCGTTCTCAGCCTCCAGATCCCGACACCCCTCGATCTGCGCCCCTGGTCACGGCCGTCACGCTTTATGCTGGTCAGAGGTAAGAACATACTAACTTACAGCATAGTGAGCTGTAGTGAGAAGACAGCGCGGGTTTTGTTCTGTATTGTTGACAATGACTTTCCTTTTAACTCGATTAATATTTATTTAACTGAGTTCCAGATGCTGAGCAACGTGTTTTCTTGATGTTTCAAGATTGTTTCATGTATTTTTTTTTCCGTTTTCTTCTTCAAAACAGCAAGAAAGGGAAGATCACCCTGGAGAACATTAGCAAGTTGCCGGTTGACAATCTAAATATCTCTGTCAGCAGTAAGGATGGGGAGGGTAAGTCGTCTTTTTGCTGTAGAGATAAGGATGGGGACAGTGAGTAGTTTTTTTACCATTCAAAACTAGTAAGAGTGGAGAGGGTAAATCATCATTTTACAATACTGTTAACGATGGGAGGATAATTCATTTTTGCTATTCAAGATTGGCTCGGGTATGTCATCTTGATGAAAATGAATGTAAATATGCTGAGTACTGAAAAGATGTGTTCCAATTCGAGTTTAGTTTCTATTCTTCTTCCAAGGAGCCGAAGAACTCTTCAGTTTTGACGAAGAAGAAATCAAATCCAAACTACCAGTCCTTCCCGGTGACTCCACCGAAATCACGGTCACAATAACGGGCACACATCACTTCCCACAAGGCACCGAGAGCAGCGAGAATCTCAGTTACGACCCCGAGGCACCCTGGGGTTTGACTGGTGCGATTCAACTCCGCTACTCAACAGGAGAGTCCAGTAGCCACACGTGTCGGAAAGCCACCATGTCTATTGACGTCACAGTCGTCCCTAGCTTGCTCTGTGAAAACTATCAGATCATTGAACTTCCTAGGTGGGCTCAGTTTCTTTGTCAAAGTAGGTGTCAGCTCGTCTGAAAATTAGGGATTTTCTATATTCGGTGCTCTGTAACAAATTAAGAACCTAGTTTGACCGTTTCTTTAATTCTAATTCTCTTTTTCCACGCAAGCTCTGACTGTCCGTATTTGGACAACTACAGTAGACTACTTTGAAAGACTGAAAAACGGAACTTCTTCCGTCACAGTATCTCTTCGTTCCTCAAATTTCGACTGGTGCAATTTTTCGCCACATTAAACTATTGAATTGCACATTATTTAAGATCGAAAACAGAAAAATGAACTTGCCATACTGTATCATTCTTGGTTTTGTAATCGCGCGCAAAAACAAATATTTGTAACGCAAGCGACAGCAATCTAATTTGACACAACGTTACGTAACCCACATAAAGGATTTTTTTTCCGTTACTAAGTTATCACGCAACGTTCTTTAGTCAGCTCAGTGTTACCTGAATCAAGTAACGGCCATCCAGAAGACTAACAGCAACCGTTTTCGTTGTTCGCAGTGACAGATCACATTGTTTACTGATGTTCGATGCCGTAAACAAGACGTCGAATGACATGGAGTTTTCGTCCTCTGTGCAGAATGGAAATCAACCAAATTGTGGTAAGAATTTGAAGTAAAAGTTCATGGAATTGTCCACTTCCCTTACCACTCGAGTTGGCGATACAGCTACTAAAGGCAGACTATGTATATTTTAACTTTACTATGTAAACTACAGTCATGCAGCAAGTGTCGTTTTTGTAAATCTTTTCCGAAGCACTCGGGAAATTTCCAATTGATATTATCCAATGAAAAACAAGCAAAGCAGGACTATCGAGTACTCCGAACATTGTCACGCCAGTATGACGCATCGAAATATGTGATGTTTCTAAGGCCCTGTCCACATGTATCCGGATATCCTTGAATCCACAACTTTTTCTTTCCGGATTCAAAAATTTCCCCGTTCACACGTAGCGTATTCAAATCGAATTCGCCTGTCCACACGTATCCGATGGTATCCGGATTCACTCTAGAGAAACTAGGCCTACACGTTGTGCCGTCATATTGGTTTACTGTTCGGTGAGAGACTGAACACGATTTTGCTACATCATCGGATTTGAAATTATCCAGATTCACAGTCCACACGTTATCGGATTCGTTGCGGATTTTTTTTTTTCCACTCTGGAGAGCGGATTCAAAAATGTCCGGATTCGCTGCCGAATTCGCCTGATGCGTGTGGACGGAAGCCGTATCCCGAAAGAAAAAGTTGCGGATTCAAAAATATCCGGATACATGTGGACGGGGCCTAAGCAACCACGGATGCGAAAACGAGAGTTTGCTTTTAACAGGTTTTTCTTATTCCTCAGACTTATGTCTTGCTAATTATTGTTTTGTTATTCCTCCGCACAGATGATGAGGTGTTCACGGATGCGGTTATGAACATCCAAGGAAATGACAAGAATAGGTAAAAAATATCATCTCAGACTTCGTAATGTTATTTCGCAAATGTTTTCTTATTTTGGTTTTTACTACTTTGAACTTAAACTATTTTATTTTAATAGAAATAAGTGTGAGTGATTGAACATATGGGTAAATCAAGTTGCTCATTTACGATTAAGGAAGTGAATAACAGAGATTTCCAAATGGTCTGCCATGGAAGAACAAAACTGTACTTGTTTGTTAGTTTTGTTTTTTGGTCCTTCTTCTAAAACAGTTTTCTTTACTTATTGCTGTGGCTTTCTCTTTTTTTTCTTTTTTGCTCTAGGGTAACAATAAATTTGCCAAGATTTGCTTTGCCAGTCTCCGACAAACCTAGTCAGCAGGTAAGGATTTGGTGCAAACGAAGAAGTTTGGTTTGTAGTCTCCCTGTACGCGCTATGATTGACATTTTTGTTTCAATTGTTTTTGTTTTGTTTTGTTTTGTTTTTTGTTTTTGTTTTTTATGTCGTTGTCGTTGTTTTAGGTTCATAGCGACTCCCAGAGAAGAGCTGAATACAAGAAATTCGTGTGTGACGTGGTTAAACTTCAATGGAATCTTGTATCCTTTTCCTGGAAATGATAATTCTGCGACAGTGTCACGTGGGAATTAGGCCCGTGGGGTTTCAAATCAATTCTGAGCTGAGGAAACCAAACGTGGAAATAATAAGAAAAAGAAGTTGACATCGGAAGTTGACATGTAAAAGTCACTACAACATGTACGATTAAGGTAACTGCTGACCGTTTCCGTGTGCTTATATATTCCGCTTAGGGAATTTCTCGCACATTAAAAATAAAGATTGAGCTTTAGATTAAGGTAGATTGAGGCCGCCTAGTCAGGTAAGGCAAGTCTCCTGTGTAGAAGGTTAAAGGGTAGCTTATGCAGGTCAGCCTATATCTAAGAAACAGATCGCCAATTGTTTTATTAAACATGGGTTATTGACCAATCTTGTTCGGTTGCGATGGCTGGATATTAGCCTCGTTCTTTCCTTGAGATGCAGATAGCTCATCTTGCCCGTTGGGGTAGCCAATCACAGCGCAATATTTGGTCCATCTGACCCGCGCGGGGAGCCAGCCATAAGATAACAGAAATTAACGCCGGTCTTTCTGAACCCATCTACACTTCCAGCAGCCGCTTTTTCAGTACTTTTTTTTGTTGTTGTTGTTGTTGTTGTTGGACCTAAACTTTCTCACAGCCAGCTTGCCAAGCTTCAGGCTTTGCTTATGTGGACAACTTGAAGCTTGACGTAGACATGATGAGGGTTTTAAAGCAGGATCCCATCACTTTTGGTGCGTATTGAGATAACATCTTACACGTGACTGTATTGAACCACCAGAAAACCGAGCTTTCACAGCGGATACACAAAACTAGCATACCCTGACGCTGTAAGGAGCTGTCTGGGTCTGTCTACATCTGCTTATATTGCTGAAGCTTATGCATCCGCGCTTGTTGAAGCCAGCGTCGTAGGAGCTCAGTCACGGCATTTGGAGTTATTTTGGCCACGTCCAAAGTTACATTTAAATTGAAGGAAACCTGAAAGTAGTAGTTTACTAAGATAGAAAAACATCAAAGAGACAATAATAAACCATGAAGGAACAGCGGTGGAGAAGGATGGAGAAGATTACAAGCGACGACCTTGGAAAATATAGGCCAAGTTTTCAAGATGTACAAACCGTGACGTGGGCTGGGTTTTGACTCCTTGCTCTTTCGTTTCACACCTCGCTACAGTACTTGTCTCAATTTCCCTAATCTGCAAACAATAAACAATCTTGCTTTGTGTGGAGAACTTAAACTAACAGCTAATTTACTCCATGGACTGATTTGTAGAATCTGTTTCAGTGTGACAGGTTATTACAACTGAATCGGGCCAATTTTTACACGTGCGTTCACTTTTTATCAAATTTAAGCTCTGGTGTGCAAACTGGGCCTAAGACGGTACATTTCCATTTTGAAATTTCACACGCATGCGTAGTAGTTAAATCATGCCACAAGTGTTAGACTTAGTAAAAGATATCGGTATAAATATTCTAAGAAACTAAATCGAACGTCGGCTTCCCTTCGGTGAAGGTCAAGCGCATTTAAATCTATTCTAACAATCGAAAGGTTGTTGCGTTGGGTTGCTATATAACGACATGACCTTTGAAAGGCAGTCTCCTCTTTTTCAATTATGACTGTAAGGTAGATTGATCTTGGCCGCCTTTAAAACTGAGCGAAAATCTGTTCACTGCAAGCAGCCCCTACATGCAATTACAAACCAAGAAAAAACGAGCGAGAATTAAAAAAATCACTCCACGCTCAACGATTTACGAGTCGAAGCAGAGCTTTCGCTAAATCTAAACAATCTGATGTGATCTAAACTTTTCGTTAAAAGGTATCAAGATTAACGGCGAGGAATACAACAACACTGCTTCGAGCTTGGTCACGATTTCACTCTGCACAATTGTGGATGTCAATATTGAAGTATCTAATCAAAGTGGTGAGTTGTGATGTGGCAAACTGAGTGTAGTAAGAGGGGAAGAAGGGTGAGAGAGTTAATCCCCCCTAAAAATCTTTGACAATACTAAGTAACTGGTAATCCTCGAACGCAAAACTTTGTGAAATATCTAGGAATTTTAATCGACAAGAATATTTCCTGGAAGTATCACATTAATTACATCTCATCAAGTAGTGAATCAAATCCTTGTTGTGTTTCGTTACCAGATGAACCTCATGGTCCCTTGTTATTGACTGTTGAACCGTACCAGGACCAGGCCTCTGGGTCCCCAGTGACCGAGCTGGATGGAAAAGTGACCTGGGTTGGAACGCTGCAACTCGACACACCTGAGGTACAGTTTTTATGTGCGTTCCTTGGTGTACCGCTGGAGTAAACATGGCAGCCGGAAATGTCGTTCACAAAAACGTTAAGAAGTTAAGAGAAACTGGTTTCGAAACGTCTTAGCAAAGAGATGCAACAAAACAATTTATCGAAATAGACATTTTTACCATGTAGCTAATGTTTTTCAGTTTTCGAATTTGATGGTATGACGTAGAAAGACCAATAGTTTCTTTTATTTCCCTTCCTTCTCTCTAGTTATCACCCGGGAAGTCGTTCTACCACTCTTGTTCTCTGGTATTTTTGTATGCTGGACAATTTATGATATCCATTTCTTGTGCGGAGTCTGGCTCGGAAGAAAGTGTAACTTCTAACGAAGACGCTGCATCGGGGTCAACAGGAAGAACGCAAAGTTTAGAAAGTACAAGGACAAATTCAAAGGGAGATGATCCCGGCAATTGCGTGAAGAGATCATGGACGTACTCGCCGCCGATCATTATTAATGTGGTTTAATCACATCCAAGTCACATTGGATTAACTCAGTGGTTTACTGGAGATAGTTCTTCTCGCGATGTTCTGGGTCAATGTACGCGAATTGTTCACAAAGGAAACCCTTTAAAATGTTTGCGAGGTTATTTCCATGGTAGCATTTTGATAGACAAGTATTCCAATAAGACGACCGCTTCTTGGGAAGTGCGTTGGCTCGCTGATGGGCAAGGCGTTAGAAGCGAGTGTATCGATCAGTATGTTATCTCTCTTTACCATGCCGTAACGATTTCAAGTGGAAAGTTAGTGAGAAAGAGGACGTGATCATCGTTAGTGATTCAGGGGAAGTTATACAGTGTCGTCAAGCACGCTTACCCAAACGAGCCGTCTGCTTTTAGCCTCAATATTTTTGGAAAGGTATGGGGATTGTCGAAACGTTCAAAATGTCTCAAAGAATGTCCGCATTTGGAGTCGAAGTAAATATAAATTTGGCTTGTGTGCATGGCGAGTTTTGCCTCGGTGGCTCATAACCTCACATCTTAACGACAGCACATTAAAGTCAACGTATACTTTGTGATACTTTCAACAACTTGGACCATGTGGACGAATAAAGTGCTTTTAGCAACCTACAGAGAGCTGCTTTAGAATATGGCGGTACTTGTTGTTAAGAATCTTCTGAGACAGGACTGGAGCGCGAACAATTAAGTCCGGGAAATAATCGATGTCTTCGGTTAATATTCGTTACCCATGTAGTGCCTTATCAAGAGAATATGATAATCTCTCGGCCTNTCGGGCCAATTTTTACACGTGCGTTCACTTTTTATCAAATTTAAGCTCTGGTGTGCAAACTGGGCCTAAGACGGTACATTTCCATTTTGAAATTTCACACGCATGCGTAGTAGTTAAATCATGCCACAAGTGTTAGACTTAGTAAAAGATATCGGTATAAATATTCTAAGAAACTAAATCGAACGTCGGCTTCCCTTCGCTGAAGGTCAAGCGCATTTAAATCTATTCTAACAATCGAAAGGTTGTTGCGTTGGGTTGCTATATAACGACATGACCTTTGAAAGGCAGTCTCCTCTTTTTCAATTATGACTGTAAGGTAGATTGATCTTGGCCGCCTTTAAAACTGAGCGAAAATCTGTTCACTGCAAGCAGCCCCTACATGCAATTACAAACCAAGAAAAAACGAGCGAGAATTAAAAAAATCACTCCACGCTCAACGATTTACGAGTCGAAGCAGAGCTTTCGCTAAATCTAAACAATCTGATGTGATCTAAACTTTTCGTTAAAAGGTATCAAGATTAACGGCGAGGAATACAACAACACTGCTTCGAGCTTGGTCACGATTTCACTCTGCACAATTGTGGATGTCAATATTGAAGTATCTAATCAAAGTGGTGAGTTGTGATGTGGCAAACTGAGTGTAGTAAGAGGGGAAGAAGGGTGAGAGAGTTAATCCCCCCTAAAAATCTTTGACAATACTAAGTAACTGGTAATCCTCGAACGCAAAACTTTGTGAAATATCTAGGAATTTTAATCGACAAGAATATTTCCTGGAAGTATCACATTAATTACATCTCATCAAGTAGTGAATCAAATCCTTGTTGTGTTTCGTTACCAGATGAACCTCATGGTCCCTTGTTATTGACTGTTGAACCGTACCAGGACCAGGCCTCTGGGTCCCCAGTGACCGAGCTGGATGGAAAAGTGACCTGGGTTGGAACGCTGCAACTCGACACACCTGAGGTACAGTTTTTATGTGCGTTCCTTGGTGTACCGCTGGAGTAAACATGGCAGCCGGAAATGTCGTTCACAAAAACGTTAAGAAGTTAAGAGAAACTGGTTTCGAAACGTCTTAGCAAAGAGATGCAACAAAACAATTTATCGAAATAGACATTTTTACCATGTAGCTAATGTTTTTCAGTTTTCGAATTTGATGGTATGACGTAGAAAGACCAATAGTTTCTTTTATTTCCCTTCCTTCTCTCTAGTTATCACCCGGGAAGTCGTTCTACCACTCTTGTTCTCTGGTATTTTTGTATGCTGGACAATTTATGATATCCATTTCTTGTGCGGAGTCTGGCTCGGAAGAAAGTGTAACTTCTAACGAAGACGCTGCATCGGGGTCAACAGGAAGAACGCAAAGTTTAGAAAGTACAAGGACAAATTCAAAGGGAGATGATCCCGGCAATTGCGTGAAGAGATCATGGACGTACTCGCCGCCGATCATTATTAATGTGGTTTAATCACATCCAAGTCACATTGGATTAACTCAGTGGTTTACTGGAGATAGTTCTTCTCGCGATGTTCTGGGTCAATGTACGCGAATTGTTCACAAAGGAAACCCTTTAAAATGTTTGCGAGGTTATTTCCATGGTAGCATTTTGATAGACAAGTATTCCAATAAGACGACCGCTTCTTGGGAAGTGCGTTGGCTCGCTGATGGGCAAGGCGTTAGAAGCGAGTGTATCGATCAGTATGTTATCTCTCTTTACCATGCCGTAACGATTTCAAGTGGAAAGTTAGTGAGAAAGAGGACGTGATCATCGTTAGTGATTCAGGGGAAGTTATACAGTATCGTCAAGCACGCTTACCCAAACGAGCCGTCTGCTTTCAGCCTCAATATTTTTGGAAAGGTATGGGGATTGTCGAAACGTTCAAAATGTCTCAAAGAATGTCCGCATTTGGAGTCGAAGTAAATATAAATTTGGCTTGTGTGCATGGCGAGTTTTGCCTCGGTGGCTCATAACCTCACATCTTAACGACAGCACATTAAAGTCAACGTATACTTTGTGATACTTTCAACAACTTGGACCATGTGGACGAATAAAGTGCTTTTAGCAACCTACAGAGAGCTGCTTTAGAATATGGCGGTACTTGTTGTTAAGAATCTTCTGAGACAGGACTGGAGCGCGAACAATTAAGTCCGGGAAATAATCGATGTCTTCGGTTAATATTCGTTACCCATGTAGTGCCTTATCAAGAGAATATGATAATCTCTCGGCCTAATATAACTTTCCGATTCTCAAAATCCAATCAAAAATAACACGAGCTCTCCGAGAGTTGTGACGTGAGCATGTCGTCATTAGCATTCGTCGTGTCTCTTAGCAACAACTTTGCCATAAATCACTGGTGGATGAATCCTCTGAAAATAGCTCTCTACAAGCAAACAGAATTCCACCAGGGAGAAACGCACTGCTTCAATCACCTGAAATAGGGAAACGCTTGCATTCTAACGAAAGACTAACTTTAAGGGTGATATATGTTGTAAAAATATTACAAAATTGAGTTAGGAATTGTTTTATACGAAACTTCAAATGAAGATTATAAGCGACATGTAAAAAACAAATCAAAACTTTACTGAAATGAGTTTTGTTTTGAAGTAATTAGATCGAAAATGAACTAATAAAATGAATTTGTTGACAATTTTGTTATTTATGTTTGAACAGAGTTTTTCCAATTCTTAACCGTTACCACAACGGAGAAAAGAGCTGGTTACTTTAATCCGGTAACGCTAAAAGATCAGCCGTTATATATATATTTAGTCTTCTCGAAACAGAAATATATGAATCACTATTATTTCTTTTTATTCTGTTTCTTCTCAGCGCAGGGCGTCAAATTAATTTTACCATAAACACCAGGTTTTTCATTGTTTGCTTGTCGCAAGTTTATCTTTCGCTACACGGATACGACACATGAAATACGAGTTTTATTGCCCGGGCTAATACCCACATCGCGTTTTCTCCCAGGTTAGTTGACTTTTTCGCAGGTGCCCGCAGGTGGGTAACTTTGAGCACTCTGTATGTTAGTTTGTGATTATTGACCGGGTCCGTGATAACAAGACTACGTTGTATCTTAAAAACGCGAATAAAACGCTAAACTTTCACTTTCAAGGAAAAGAAATCACGAAAATGGGCTTGCTGTGGTGTAGTTGTTTTCCTTGGGAAGAAAATTGGCGGGAAGTCCACACCGCGGCAACCGTTTTAGCAACCGTTAAGCACGGAGTATTTTTGGCGCGAAAACTTCGCGGGCCAATGAGCGGCTTGCCAGGTGACGTAATGTTTTGGTTCGAAGGGTGACTTAATTCCAGAAAAATTATATGATGGTCGTCATAGCGGCTTCAGTGGGACGAGTTACGTTTATTTCAGATTATCTAAGACATAAAGACACGGCCAAAGAATTTCCAGAATGGGCGAGCACGTTTTAGGAAGCTGTGAGAACATGGATGTACTGTTTTATGACCAAACATCGGTACCAGTGAACAATTTCTCGCGCTATGACAAGAACGCGTTGAGGTTAAATCTCGAGGGACACCATCCCTCTGTTGTACAAGAATATAGGGGCAATGGAAAACTTGGGATTTACGAGAACTCACCAGAGTTGACCCTGTTTAAAATGGTTTCTCCCGAGCTGGAAAAATTTATTGCAAGCAATACTGGCCTCACGCCGAAAGGAAATCCCGGAGCTATCAATTCGCCGGAATTCACTTTATTTAACCTGATTTCGCCCGAGTTTGAAAAAATTCTCGCGAGTGTTCAGAATCCCAAATCACCCACGCAGGCGAAAGGTTTGCGCGAGGGAAATAACAGCGTCAAACAACAACACGAGGCTTATGTTCAAGGCTTTGCGGAAGCTCTTCAGCAAATACACGATCGCCAACAACCCGGCGATCATCTTCACAAACAGAATACAGTACCCGTTGGTTCAGGTACCAACAACAGCTGGGGAGAGCTGCCGGAAAACACACCGAACAACTTTCACAGCCAGGTACACGAGACCTCTTACGAGATAAATAATCCCCCGTTTGCGGGGGTAACAACTTATGACCATCACGAACTTAATCCCGCGGCATACGGCGGCGCCGTCGTGGAAACAGAGAATTTTGAGTACGCTGATGAAACGTTAAAATCGCAAGCCGGGAGTGTGCTCCCACTACCCCCGATCGATTTAGAACTTCAGGAGATTGTGAAACGTGAGAGAAAGAAACAGAAAAATCGGGTGGCGGCTTCAAAGTGCAGGAAAAAGAAACTTGAGAGAGAAGCACAGCTCGAAGTCAGGGTACAACAGTTAAAAGATAAAAATATTGAACTAAACGCGGTAGCGAACGCGCTCCGGCAACAAGTAAGTGAATTGAAGCAACGAGTTCTAGAACATGTGGCCTACGGTTGTCAGCTCCCTTCCATTGCATCCGCGGCTTTCTAGAATCTACGTTTAAAAATTTCTTGTTCATATACTCTTTGAAATATATTTTCTTACTCTTTCTTTAACGTAGAATTTGGAATATCATGAAACGGTTTACAGGGCTTCGTTGAAAATTCCAGAAATTTACCCAATTCTTGCAATTTCGTGTTTGTGATTGTACCTGCTTAACATCCCGCCAACAGGTGGCACAACTGTGTTCTGAAGAGCCGGGTCAACAAACAAAAACCAGAGATGAAAAGTGCTTTTTGCCTTTCCACGCTGCGGTCCCATCACAAATACGGAATGCGCCGAAAACATTCTCTCAGAATTCGCTTGGAATTCGGAAGGCCGGGAGTGGTCGCATTTGAGACAAAGCTCTAAACACGTTATTTGCCATTTTTCGCTTCCAGTAAGAGGCTCTGGAGGTTTTGCCCTTGATTAAGCCGTAACAGGTGGATTTCATGGTCGAAGGCGAGGTGAAAGTGGTAAATTAACTGAAATTTCACGCATTTTGAGAGTACATTACACTAAAAGAGTGTTAGTTATCGCAGATTATCCAAATTACTTGGATGAACCCCACATTCTTTAAATAACTCTTTCAAAGAGTCAAACAAGTGCTTTATTTTTATAAATTTCTATAGAACCACACCTTAGAGTTATCAAATCTTATCTTTGATTCATCAGTGACAGATGATTAATGTAGTGCGTGTTATAAAATCCCTGATACATTCTGATGAAAAAAAAAATATATCACTTCTTTCACGGAAATCGTTGGTTATGTTCATAGTAGCCTGCGGTAAATTTCTAAGAAAATAAAAACACAAATGCATGGGCTACGCCTGTCAGGTAACTGTATAAAACCAAGAAAAGCTGAAGGAGAAGAGAGTTAATCGTTCATTTAAGCCATATTCCTAAGGAAAGCCCTCTCAAGTTATTTCTACATCACCCATGGACCAATATGTGGGATTTGTTCCGGCTCTTTTTCTCCATCCTCTCTTTTTATAAAACTAGATCGAAAGTAGGTTACCTACGGAGGTTTATTGTTGACTGTCGAAAACATTTAATGGCTTGCTGCTACCGAGGTCGGTCAACCTGTTCTCGCTTACATCTTCCCGTTCGTTCATTTCATCACATTGGAATGACCAGATACGAATCTTGCAGTTGTTGTTTTTTTCTTTCTCTCCACTCTCCGTCCCCCCAGCAATGTTGTTTTGTGTTTGCGAGATAACTCACTGTCTAGTTTTATTTGACGATAGAAAAAGCGGGTTAGACAGGGGTTTCGTATATGTCGTTTCAAGATCAAATCAACGACGTTTCTTACAATCCGAATTCCTTCGTGGAACACTAGTTAACATTGTAATTTTCAGTGTAGTTTCTTTCGCAAGTTATGATGCAGATCTGCGACAGTCATTAGAAAACGACTATATTTGCAAGTTGATAGGTTGACAGTTTAAAGCAATGTAAATATCATCATCGTCATTATCAATTCGATGAAACAGGTGGCGTCGCGGTAAGAGATTGCGCGACTGAGTTTGCTGTTTTTCACCAATGGCTACTCCTCATGGCGTTACTTCAGTTGTCACGCAAAGCGTTGCGTGACGATCCAGTAACGACAAAGCTGTGCATGGTTTCCAACTATTAAAGCGCTAATGTAAATACAACGTAGCAGAGAAGAACTTGTGAATGTTCCTCAGGCAAACTAGCTGGCCCTGGCTTGCTGTTATACAAAATAAAATCAACTCTTTGACTAATGGTTTTTGATTAACTGTCTTAACTATCTACAGGAACAAGTTTTCTGCTGTATAGACAGAAGCGATTTAACAATCTCCAGCAACTACTCTTTTCGATTTACAAGTAATTCTCGGTTTCGCCTCCTTATAAAAAATTAAGACAACAACTTTTTTCGTAATTACTGAACATGTACACAAAAAACAAACGCCCTCCCTCTGTGGTTAACATTCTTCACACGGTGTTCGAGGCAAGGGAAGGCAAGGCTAGTTAATTAGCGAAAAAGAAAAGAAAATATTCCTTGAAAAATTGGCTGAATCTCTAGTAAGAAGAACCTACAAAGAAAAATATTATAGATAGTAATAAAAGCCAAGGGTCGATCTTGAGATATATAAAGAACAAATTGGAAAGGTAAACAAAGGAATACTTGAAACTCCTTAGGGCGTGACGCTCGGTCACCCACCGAGTTATTCACGGCATGAAATGAATATCAAATTATTTATTTACACATCTCTTACCGGGTCACGGCATTGCTCACCCAAAGCTGAGCGATACTTTGCAACGAACAAGACTTCAGTTGATTCTACGTACGCACAATGGCCTTGAAAAGCAAATTTCCCGATGTTGCGATCCCCGAGAACATGTCGTGGCCTGAATTTGTTTATCAGAACTTTGACAAATACGGCGACACAACAGCAATCGTAAGTATAAACACAAGTAGCTACAAGTATTTGCTAAATTCTTGAAAATAAGATATCTAATATGCTGGCGTTTCATGAACTCGTGTCAGCTGTCCCGGTTAGCTTGTTTACGGTTAGCTCGTGATGATGGAAATGGTAAGTCTTTCGGAACTCTATAGTCTGCAGTCTGCATTTTACCCCTGGTCTGCATTCTGCAGTCTTAATCCTTTTGACACTGACCGATTTCATCAGCCGTAAGAGTGCCTGTGTTCTCGTTCTAGTTGGCATGTGTACAATGTCTTCTACTTCGCCTCAAAATGAAATACCGAATAGCTTAGAAGCTGCATTTTTCTTCCTATTTGGTATTAAGCGTGAGTTCAAGATGGCTGGATATTGGCCCAGTTCTTTTTTTACGAGTTTATGGAGCGAGACGGAGTCGAGGTCCACTGAAGCTCGCAAAAATAGAACGAGGCCAATATCCAGGCATCACTGGTTAAGAAAGGATATTTATTGTATGGCTTTCGATCATGGCCTCTTGCTTTCGGAGAAATTTTTCTTGCGGAACACAGCGGGTAGTCCCGAGCGGGCAAGATAGCGCTATCTTGCCCGCTCAGGTAGCCAATCACAGCGCAGGATTTGGTTCATCTTGCCCGCCAGATCACGGAGCTTGCCATATAATAAAGATTAATTTTGGCATCAGGCAATATTGACTGAACCTGTGAACGAATATTTTAACATCGTGGTTTGACGCATTTTAGATCTGTTTAAAATAACTAACTTTAAAACTAACTCAAAAATCAAACATTATGTTAGCCTAATGCAACAAAAGTATATTTTATACTGGCAAAATATCATGTAAAACTCTGATAAACTAGAATTTTTTTTCACAACTTTTAGAACGATTATACTCCTTCCTCTTATTTAGGCCTAACAAGCAAGCTAAGCGAAAATGTAATTTGTGATAATCGGTATTGACATAAATTAATATTCTGCCGACACGGAACAGAGAACTGGGTGCTACCGTAGTATACAAAGGCTCATGGTTAGTACGTTTGTAAAAAGAGACGGTTGAGAAGCTTGTGGCATTCTACGGTCAGCCTTGCCACTTGCACTTCCGCATAAGGTTTATTTTTATTGTATAAATGACGTTATCTGATTTATCTTTCATTCTGTTGTTTATATATCAACCTTAAAACCCCAAAGACGGTGCCACTGCATTTGGTCGGGGGTACACCGTTCCTATTTTTCCCCTTGGTTTTTGGGGTTTACGTGTCCGGTTTTGGCGCATGTAGGATGTTATTTGGTGTATCTTTTATCCCCTTTGTTGTAAGTTTATTGTCACAATTAAAACATATCTTGGGCCTGGCTGACCAACGCGACCATACCTCAACCTTTGTGTGTGTTCGGTTGTGAATTGAAGGCAAAATGAAAAGAACTAGTGAAATTTAGAATAGGCAATCACAAACTATAAGGATTGAAACTGGTAGATACGATCACAGACTCTGCCCTATTTGTGTATCTAATCAAATTGAAGATGAATCTCACAGTCTTATGTATTGCATTAAATACTCTATATTCTAGGAGATGAATTTTGTAGAAAAATAGGTTAGAAAATATCGTTCCGACTTTTAAACAAGTATCTTCGTCATAATCAGCGAACTTATGACTTCTACAAATCATTATATTAATATTCATGAAGACGTGATTGATCATCGCAGTTATACGCACAACTTAAGCAGTTGTGAAATTAAAGCCTGAAAAAAAAAATTCAGGCCTGAACGGGATTCAAACCCATGACCTCTGCGATACTGGTGCAGTGCTCTACCAACCGAGCTATCAAGCCCGACTGGTAGTATTGCACCGGTATCGCAGAGGTCATGGGTTCGAATCCCGTTCTGGCCTGAATTTTTTTTTTTTTTTAATTTCACAACTGCTTTAAGTTGTGTGTATAACTGCGATGATCAATCATGTCTTCATATCTTTCTCCGCAGTTCAAATATATGATGTTTCATATATTCACTTGCATATTAATATCCAATTAGCAAAATTTATTTCATCTTGCTTTGATCTTCGTGATATTCTTCTTTCAAATCAAACCGATGTAACCTGATTGCTATATCGTAACCTTATTATATATTCACGATAATTATCATTGTTTTAGTTTTAAATTCATAACCTCGGTAACCTGCGCAAAAAGGGAAGGGGTAAGGAGAGAATCGAAATACGTGAGGAAAAAGAGGAGTGAGTATCAGCCAGTAGGAATTTTGTAGCCGCCACCTGCAGCAGAAATGAACTAAATGGAGTGGGGTTCTTATAGCAGGCGTTTCTCCTCTCTCGCACGACCCATCATGAAAGCTGTTCTTCCTGCCTGTTAGAGCGTTGTAAGTGCGGTAAGAAGACAGACTTTGGAAACGAGCTTGATCAATGCACTAAGCGACGATAAGTTCTGTTCTAAGTTTTGACTCCATCCCTGATTCTGTTTAACTAAGTTCAAAGAGCTGCTGTATCAACCGTCTGCTCCGTTTTTATTTGTTTACTTGTTTAGATTGATGGTACTTCTGGCCATGCCTACACATTCACACAACTTAAAACCCTCACCAAAAACTTCGCTTCATCTCTGGTCAAAAGGGGCTTCAAAAAGGGAGATGTTTTAGCCATCTACCTTCCCAACGTTCCAGAATATCCCATCGCTTTCTACGGCGCGGGTTTCATTGGAGGCACGGTCACCACAGTCAACCCACTCTACACTACAGAGGAGCTGGAGCGACAACTACAGGACACCCAATCCAGCTTTCTTGTCACAAGCCCTCTGTTCATCGACAAGGCCAGAGCTGCGAGTAAAGCACAAGGCAAGATAAAGAAAATCATTGTCATCGGTGATGAAGTTTCTGAAGATTGTTTGGCGTTCTCCAATCTCCTGGAAGACGACGGTTCCAGTTTTCCGTCACAATGTACAGTCGACAAAGATGACGTCGTGAGCATGCCATATTCGAGTGGCACCACAGGGGTCCCCAAGGGAGTGATGATCACGCATAACAACATGATAGCTGACACGTGCATCATGGAGGGTTCTGAAATATTTACACTCACGGAGCAGTCCGTGGTGATGACGATTCTTCCATTTTTTCACATTTACGGTCAACTCGTTATGATGGGTTCAGGCTTGCATCAGGGCGCTAAGCTTGTAGTCCAGCAACGATTTGAGCCGGAAAAGTTCTTGAAAGCCATGCAAGATCACAAGGTGAGAGTATATTTCTCTGGTTCTGAGCTCTTCAAAGTACATCCCTGATTTTGTTTTGCAGCATATTTAGGTTCAAGATGGCCGACACACCGTTGAAAGACCTTCCCCTTTCTGTGTGTTTGTCATGTTCGATTTGAACGCCCGAAAAAACCTGGAAACGAGATGGTGCATTTTGGCGGGTGGAAATGCAGCGCAAAAGTGACAGCAAGAGCATGCGCAGTAATGAAAATAACGATAAAGTCTTCCCAGATTGATTGTGATTGGCTACCTGGTCCAGGTGTGACGTCGACATACATAATACATTTCCTGTCTCCCAGGTTCCCAGTTTTCCTCGTTCCTTGGAACAAAGTCGGCGTGCTTATACATGTAGGTGGTATGTGGCCTCTAATGTAGCCTCTCATGTGGCATGTCACACAATCTTTGGCTATATTAGTCACGCAAAACAGCGCAAAGGGGCTACTCCGTTAACTTAACGAATGACTTCTATAATTAATCGTTTTGCAGGTAACAAATGCTCCGATTGTTCCTCCTATTGTTCTATTCCTGGCCAAGCATCCGTTAGTTGACAAATATGATTTATCGAGCGTTGAAGAAGTGACGTGTGGAGCTGCACCAATGGGAGAGGGACTCGAGGAGGCTCTGATAAAAAGAATGCCCCGAGTGAAACGCATCAGACAAGGTAAAATGAATCAAATGAGAAACGACTTTGCAAGTGGTTTTCCCGGGGCGTACTCTCTTATACGAGCTATATAGGTATGTGCGACGGCCCCAAAGGGTAGAGTTTTTTAGTCGTTTTAGTCAGAAATAGGGCATCGATTTTGGCCATTTTGCTCTCAAATAGGGTATGGTTTTTTGCACTCAAGTCTTGAATTGGTAGTTAGAAGAAGCTTCTTTTTCATCATTATCGATAAGACCATCAAGGAAACCCCCCACAATGCCTTTAACATGTCAGTCTGAACTAGAGAACTAATTAATTACAAGTCATGTCTTGAATAGGGTATCGAATTTTTGGTCAGGTCATAAAAAGGGTATGTAAAATCGCAGATTTTGGTCTTAAATAGGGTAAGGGTTCTGGAAACCGGGCCGCGCGCCCCCAACTATTTTTCTGAAGGCAACTCCCCCGGGGGTTGTTTTTTTACCCCAAGGCCTAATTTATTCGGCACTTTACTGCGATTGACTAGCTTGGTTTGTTTGTTTGCGTTTTGTTTTCTTTGCACTACCACCCAATCGGGAGCCTTTTCACAGGCTGAACGGAGACGAGAGGTAAGCGCTGGTGTTGACAAGCCATGTGGCTCCTCCGCACGGATTCTTACTTTTTGTAACAAAGTAAAACACATGTGTTACAGCTGTAAGGGCGAAAAGCCTATCCCGCCAGACTCAGACAGAATCTTGTCACGTTTGGGTTCGTGTAATTGCGTGACTTTAGCATTGCTTTCCAGGTTATGGCATGACAGAAGTGCTTGTTACGCATGTGCAACCCAGGGGAGAAAGAAAACCTGGCAGCGTTGGTGTCCTATTGTCTAACGTGGAAAGTAAGGTAAACAACACGAAATATCTCGAGTAGAGTAAATCCTTAATTGTTCAAGTTTCATATGATTACTTGTGTATAAATTATATAACTGAGTAAGTTACGAACGCACGCGCCCGTTAATTTGCACTGTTGTTCAAATTAAAAATTAACTATAAATTGGCCTGCTCTCAGCCAATCGCGAAGAAGTAATTTTCTCAGTCACAAAATAATTGGCGTCATCTTTTGAAAATGCAAAATTTAATCAGGTTAGAGTTTTTCGAGTCTTTGAGTGTCAACGTTCCGCTTCTAATGAAGTTGTATTTTACACTGGTTACACACAGATTGTAGATGTAACAACTGGTGCCATGTTGGGTCCACATCAGGACGGAGAGATTTGTATCAAGGCGCCCACAGTTATGAAAGGTAGCATTACTTTAACTTCTTTCCTTTTATGAGATAATTCGAATCCTCTACCTAAAGATGAGATCTCGCATTCACGTCCTTCACAAGGCCGAGTTGTTCAAAGCCTGATTACGCTAACCCAGGATAGGCGAGAATTTTGATTTTAGTTTTGCAACTTCTTCAGACTTCTGTTTTGTCCTTCAGTTTTAAGCTTAAGTAATCTCAAAATACATAAAACATAAGCAGTCAAAAACACTTTACTGAATACAATAAAGAGTAATACTTCGGTTAACTTTTAATCCTGGGTTAGCGTTAACCGGCTTTTGTACAACCCGGCCCAGGTGTAAATTTGACTTGGCCACAAACTTTTACACAAAATACTACGACAAAATACAGGCAGAAACCAAGCCTGAGGCACTACAGATGGGCAGTCTCAAGAACTCTTAACCCCTACCCCTTTCTCCTCTTTCCCGGCTCCCCACCTCGGTATAAAAGAACTGTACACCACAGCAGTCGTTACGAATTCCTATTAGTCACACATTTTCCAGTTGTATCTTGCTTAGAGCGTTCTATCAGCCAATACCTTTTCCAATTGAAACGCCTGTTTTCATTTTTAATGTCGTATGTTTTCTCACACAGGTTATCTGAATAACCCCGAAGCCACCGCGCGTATGATCGATAGCGAAGGATGGGCACGTACGGGAGATATTGGACATTACGATGAAGATGGACATTTTTTCATAGTTGACAGGCTAAAAGAACTCATCAAATACAACGCTTATCAGGTCATTACAGACAGTTTTCTACTCATTTTAAGCAAAGTTGGTAGAGGGGAATAAAAGTGACAATAGATTTTTGTTCAAACTTTGTCCACTGAATATTTGTCATATGATAACTTCAATTTTGAAATAAAAAAGGGGGGTGCCCATGCTC